ACCCCACCCTCTCACCAATTGAGGATGACCAAGTGGTCCTCCGCCCGGACCGGCAGCTTCCCATTTCGCACCACATCCAGCCTGGACAGGAGCGGGCCGGGGGCAATGTTCGGGCGCGGGCGGCGAGGGGGGGCGAGCGTGGAAACGGCCGGCGACGCACGCCTCGCTGAGCAGTATCGGCATGGCCTTGCAACAGAGTTTATCCATCACGGCTGCGGCAGTGTCCCAGCATTTGCACTTGCCCTGATGACTGTGGGCAATCAACACACATGCGCGCGCGCACACACAACAATACACCCCTACACTCACACAAACACTCTCACGTACACAGCGACTCTCCCTCTCATGTGATACACACACACACCACACACACACACACACACACACACACACCAAACACACACACACACTTTACGCACACACACACACGCACATGCACACGCACACGCACACTCATTCACATCCACATACACACAAAAACACAACATCGGCGTGCGGGACCCACCTGCGCTGCACCTCCTCCGTGACAATGGACAGCAGCAGCGCAAAGGAGAAGAACCCGCACAGAAAGGTGGCGTTCACCACCGCATAGGACGCCAGCCTGGCAGACGGGGAGGGGCGCCGTGGGCGTACAGTAGAGACAAATCAGTGACAGCGAAGAAGCAGTAGCAGCGCGCACATCGGGTGTGAGTTTGTGTCAAAGCATTTGACAGCGTGCGCCCAGACAGGAAGCATTCAAACCTCGTGGGCTGCTGGGCTGGCCGGCTGAGTGCGCCCATGCTATAAAGCGCCGGCTTGTGGACAGCGCCCCAGCGCGCGCTAGAAAAGGGCCTTGGCTGTCGCCGCCGCCCCGCCCAATGCGACCCCCACCTCTTCTCCGGAGCGAGGGGCACCCTGAAGAGCAGCGAGAAGGCCTTGAGCAGCGCGTCAACCCAGGGCGTGCCCGGGGACGAGCGGCGGTACAGCCTGCGGTGCGGCGGCGCATGGGGCGCGCAGGGGACGCCCAGAGGGCGCGGGCGGGGGGACGGCGGCGCGCAACTGAGCGGCGTCCGGTGTTCAGTGGCGGCGCCGCGGCAGGGGGCGCTGCCGGTAGCAGCGGCGAGCAGACGGGGTGAGGGAAGGCACGGCTGCTGCTTGCGGACCCGGGGCCCGGGACGGACTGTCCACGCGGACGTGTGCGTGCGTGCGGCGCTGCTTGCAATAGTGTGTAATCGAGTTGCATGCGTGCAACGTTGATGCGAATAACTCAAAAGGTTGTGATGAGGCCGGTTGGACTCACCACCCAGAGGCGAGCAGCATAGGCACTGTGGCGAGCATCAACATGGTCGCCTTGCCAAACACGGACTACGAAAACACATGTTGGTTCGTGTGTGCGTGCGTGCGTGTGTGTGTGTGTGTGCGCGCGCGTGTGCAGAAGAACGTGTTTTGCACGACATCGTCGAGCACCTGCCTGCGCGCATGCAGGGCGCCCGCTGCAACAGACATCCCCATCTGCGCGCCCACGCCTCCCACCGACGCCGGGCGCCGCGGCGCGCGCAAAGCGGGCGGTCAACAGTTATGCGCCCAGCCGCAAGGGCCCCCGCCCACCGCCGCCATGAAGGTGTGCGCCAGGTCAGCCAGCGCGCCCGACAGCGCCTCCCGCGCATCGGCCGCGAGCCCCGCCGCGCCGCCCTCCCCCGCGCCGCCGGCGAGCAAGGGGAGCCACGCGGCCAGCCGCGGCGCGCCGCGCCCCTCCCCATCCACCTCTGCGCACTCCTCCTCCTCCTCCTCTTCCTCCTCAACGCCCATGATCCAGCCGAGCAGCGCCCCGACAGCAGCGGCCGCCGCGTAGCCGGCGCCGCGCCGCCGGCCGCCCGAGCTGCCGTCGGCGCCGCCGCCGCCGTCCTCTCGGTGCCCCTTGCGAGGCCCCTCGACGCTGGCCGGGGAGGGCTGCTTATGGCTGTGCGGCTTATCATCCACCGCCTCGGTCCCCGGCGCGTGGTCGCCGCCCCCGTGGTGGTGCGTGTGCGCATGGTCGGCGCCGCCGCCGGTCGCGGCCGCGGCTGCCGCGGCGGCGCTCGCGGCCGCATGCTGGTGGTGGTGGTGGCTGTGCGCGTGCGTCTGGCTGTGTCCGTGGTGTCCGAGGTGGTCTGAGTGCGTATAGCTGTGATAAGCAGCGTCGGCACCCCTTGCATGCAGCCGCATGCCACTGCATGGCCCGTACACCCCAGAGTTGCAGCGGAGCAGCGGCGCGCCTGCAGCAGCTGTCCCGCGGTCGAGCTGGGTGCGCAGCCCGGCAGGAGCCGTCGCCGCCGCAGGCACTCTGCATATGCCTTTATGACGGATTATTCTGTTCGCTGCCGCTGCCAAAGCCTCCCCCGAGACCGCAGGACTTGATCCTCGAGACAAGGGCCCGGATCCAACAGCCGCGGGCCCAGTTGGTTCACAGCCGTTCGTGAGCAAATTGTGGGACACCCGAGCCTGTCGCAGAATCTGGGCCGCAACGGAGCTCGCGCCGCTGCGCCTCATCGCAAGCACCCGCTCGCGCTGCGGTTGTGCGCATGTGGGCCGCTGCTCACACTACAGTACTCATACGGCCACACCAAACCAAGTAGCTGAAGGGTGATGGTGAGACATTTCTTGGACGATGGTATGATTACAGGAGCTTGGCAGTCAACATGCCGTCTGCCCGTTGGAGCCAGGTCGGAGCAGGGTGACTCTTGACATGAGTCTCGGGTGATTGCTAGGCTACAGCGCTCTATGATCCGAGCGATGAGCACACCGCAGATACCTGATTCGCCAAATTCTCACAATGTGCATGCCTCGAGACAAGGAGTGTATCAATTCTCTTGCAACACACCAGAATGTCTGTCCTTGAGGTCTCAAGTTGTCCGGCACACACGGGTGTCCATGGACAAAACTTTGCCTTTTAAAATTTGCCTTTTAAAGTTCACTTCATCAATCCATATCAGTAAAGTACTAGTTTGATGTGCAGGCAAAAATGCATGTGCAGTCTGGTTGGCGTGCAAGCAGCTCGATCGACCTCTCCCTTAGCTGCTCACTGCCACAACCGTTGCAGCAGAGGAGCTGTAACTGAGACAGCTCGCAGATTGCGTGCATCAATATTAGCACTCATAGTGATCCTAAACTAGTTGGAATGCTTCCAGTACCATCGTCTGACATGGGTGACTCGTGGGGCAGCTGAGTTCCGCCATCCTCCCGGCCGTATCAGGCAAACCCAGGAGCTGCACGCCGGCTGGCCACACAACCTATCCACCTGCTGCCTGCGGGTATATTAAGATACCCATAATTTTCTTCACATCTTATGCTACTTTCCACCTTGCGCTAAGGGACCTCTCGCCAATTCGCTGTGCACGAACAAAAAACTCGACACCCTCCGAGAGCCCTCTTCCAGCCCTTTCATACAAGGAGTCAAGCCAATAAGCATTCACGTGCAGTCAGCTAGTCATGTCAGCCATAGCCCGCTCCTCCTCCTTCGCCGTCTCCCTGGCAGCCGCCGCCCTGCTGCTCCTGCTTGCGGCAGACACGGCTATGGCCACATCCCCCTCCTTCGACATGATGGACAGCCCCGCCTCGCGCCAGCTGCTGGCCGCCAAGAAGAACAAGACCGCCAGCGCCGCCCCCAAGGTCAAGGCCAACGTCACCGCGGCCGCCGCGACCCCCAGGAAGCGCTTCAGCCGCGACTCCCTCGTCGCCTCTGACGCCACCTGGACGGCCAGCGTCGCCTTCAACCTCGCCAAGGCCACCATCCAGCTGGTGCAGCCGCTGGTCGCAGCCGCCGAGGGCGGCGCCATCAAGATTGACGCCGTGTCGCTGGTCAACCTCGGGCAGCTGCTGTCACAGCTGGCGGCCGCGGGCACAGACCTCGCCAGCAAGGTCACCAAGATTGTGGCAGACGCGGCCAACCCCATCGATGAATAGACATGGCGTGGCGCGGCTGTAGAGGGGTGGAGACGCAGCGCTGGCTGCAGCTGCTTCACTTCCCCCTTGACCTGCGCTGTATGGCCCCAACAATTTTGCCTACCGCATATTAGCGGCAGCCCCCTCTGCTGCTGACCCCTTGTGCCTTGCAATTGGCTTTGATTTTTGCATTGGCGCTGCCGATGTTGCGCCTGTTGGTCTGCCATCACGCACCTGGCCCCTCTGGCCTCATGAGCAATCACTGCCACACGAGAGCTTGGTCACTCGCAGGCTGCAATCTCCGATTGCTGTGTTATGCGATGCTTTGCCAATTGTGCAATGACTTGCATGGGGGAATGCTTGACAGAATCCATGCAGTCGCTCAGGCCTTGCCCATGATTCAGATCGTAGATGCTTGCAAGCTGGGTCTGAGCTTTTGCGAGAGTGTGACACACAGGATTAAGGTTGCTTGCTCAAAGTGTGCTTTCAGGCCTCCAGCCCTGAGCAGCGTGATTGCGACGCCAGCTAGACAAGAGCGAAGGCGCTATGCAGCAGAGTGGACAGTGCTGAGGGGTATGTCGATGGGTGTACAGTGGTGGTAGGCAGCGCCCAGTCCCAACCTGTTTTGCGGCACCACCGCGTGTCCGCACGGTGCCCCGTGGCACCTGCACCTGCACGCTGGCGGCATGGTCGCACCGTGCTGATGGCTTTGATTAAAAATGGGACCGCATGCGTGATCACAGACAGGGTTCTGCTGTAGGAGCCTGTACAATCCAGCGAGCTGGACGCGGGCACACGCAAGGCACGGGCACGACAGCATCACTGAACCACCGAGTCGCCAACGACAGCACCAGTGAAATGCAGTGACGCCACTGGCTGCAACAAACCGTGTTTCGCCAAATTGTAAACACTATCGTTTTCAACGTCATGCTCGCGAGCATTTACGTAGGGAGTACGGCATGTTTGTAATTGCGCAAATTTCACCAGCGGCCTGTTCGCCTGTTGCTGAAGAACGGTTGTAGAGTGACAGGCAGCCCAAGTTTTGTGAAGTAACACGCTTTCCGATGATGATAGTCAAGGCCGGCCTCAGGCAAGCCGAGGTGGAGGCAGCGGCTGCAGCGTGGCGGCGCAGGATGGAGCGGTCGCCCCGGCGGAGGCAGCTTGGGGCGCCGCTGCGTGCCCTGGACATGACGCTGAGATTTTAGGACCATGTTTAGGGATGCCATTGCTGGGGTAATGCCACATAACGCGGCAGACGTCCAGGTTGCATGATGCATCTGTAGACAATGTTGTGCGCGCTGACGGGGCACGCCGCTGCCCCTGCCACCGCTAACAACCCATCCCAGGGGGCTGCGGCGGCTCTTCGAGAGCTGCAAGCACGAGCGCCCAACCCAGCCATCACTGCAGGCAGCCGGCGGCATGGCCGCTGTCAACGGCGACAGAGGCGGCGAGGGCGGTAGCAGCAGCAGTAGCAGCAGCAGCAGCAGCAGCAGCAGCAGCAGCAGCAGCAGCAGCAGCAGCAGCAGCAGTAGCACCAGCGGCAGCAGCAGCACCAGCAGCAGCAGCAGCACCAGCGGCGGCAGCGGCAGCGGCAGCGGCAGCGGCAGCGGCAGCGGCAGCGGCAGCGGCAGCGGCAGCGGCAGCGGCAGCGGCAGCAGCTGCAGCGGCAGCAGCAGCAGCCGCAGCGGCAGCAGCAGCAGCCGCAGCGGCAGCGGCAGCGGCAGCGGCAGCGGCAGCGGCAGCGGCAACGGCAACAGCAGCTCAGGTGATGAGCAACCTGTCACGCCGCCCACATGCACGGGGGCCGACACGGACCCGCCTGCCGGAGCCGCCCCCACCGGTCTCAGCCACCCCGACCTACTAGCGGCCATCTTTGAGCGCCTGCCGCCCGATGAGCAGTGCGTCACAATCGGCGCTCTCTGCCGCGCCTGGCGGCGGTGGGCAGCGCCAAAGCGCGCCGCCCTATGGGGTGCGGCGACCTCTGAGTACTGCTCCTACTTGCGGTACGAGCGGGCGGCGGCGTTCGCGCTGCCGCAGTGGTATGTCATGAATCAGTGGCCGCGGCTGACAGAGGCCCAGCGGTTGGGGGGGGGCCCGCCGCGCCGCGGCCCACGGCGATGTTGAGATGCTGCGCTTCGCGCGCCACACCGTTGGCAGAGGGGACTTGTCTGTGTGCGAAGCGGCCGCAGGTGGCAGCCAGTTGGCGGCCTTGAAGTTTGCGAAGCGCGCCGGGTTCATGTGGAGTTCGCGAACTTGCGCTTTGGCCGCGGCACGCGGACACTTGGAGGTGTTGCGGTGGCTGCGCGGCGCCGGCTGTTGTTGGGACGTTGAAACATGCCAGGCGGCCGCGCGGGGCGGGCACTCGGAGCTTCTGCGCTGGGCACGCGGCGCGGGCTGCCCTTGGGTGCAACGGATCGGGCTCTATATAGAGATCCGAGCCCGTCCGGGACATGCTTGGCATCCGTTTTGGCGCAGTGGTTACATTGGGGCCAAAGCGCGTGTCAGGCGGCCGCACTATGTGGACACTTGGAGCTGCTGCAGTGGCTGCGTGGTGAGGGCTGTCCTTGGAATGAGTGGACGTGCGAGACGGCCGCGCGGGGCGGGCACTTGGAGATGCTGCAGTGGCTGCGCGGCGCCGGCTGCCCATGGGACGAGGGCACGTGCGCGGCTGCAGCATGCGAGGGGGACGATTGGAGGTGCTTCAGTGGCTGCGCGGCGCGGGTTGCCCCTGGGGCGCGGGCCTGTGCGCGTCGGCCGCCTACTTTGGACACGTCCACATTCTGACCTGGGCGCGAGGCGAGGGCTGCCCCTGTGACGAGCGCACGTGCGAGACCGCGGCGGGCCGCGGCCACATCGAGCTGCTGGCATGGGCGCGAGGCGCGGGCTGCCCTTGGAACCGCGAGCGGTGCCGCAAGCAGGCGTACGCGTCAATGCACTACGCGGTTGTAGAGTGGATCGACGGCCAGCCAGATTAGCTGCTGCACTACCGCTGCCCTTGTCCCCGGCCGCCACTGGTTGTCTCGCCTTGACGGCGTCGCGCGGGTGCCATTTCTTACTGCACCAATGGGGTGTGGCGCGGGAGCGCACACCGTAGCGTTGACCTTGGGCCAGGCTTTGATGCCGCGCCCCGCCCCCCAGTGTGGCGGGGCCCTGGCACCCCACCCCTAGTAAGGGTTGTTGATGTGCAGCACCGCACCGCACAGCGTTCCATGGCACACGCTGATGCTGGCGTCGTGGTCGCACCAAGCTGATGGCTTTGACTGCTGTTGAAACCCCTATCGTTGATTATAGGAAGGCCTCTGCAGCAGCCGCCACCTCCAACAAGCTGGGCGTGAGCTCATACTGTACAAGGCACGGGCGCCACAGCCTGTCCTCCACGACTCACCGCCAGCACCACCAGCATGCAGTGACGCCACTGGCTGCAACCGCCCGTGCATTGCCATCCTTCTTACCGCTGTCGCTGTTGTGTACCCATCTTTACGGTATTCTCACGAGCCGATTCGTAGGGAGTACGGCATATTTGTAATGCAAATCTCACACGCGTCCTTTGCTGAGAAACGGTGCTATAAGGACAGGCGGCCCAAGTTTGGTGAAGTAACACGCTCCAGCTTTCCGATGATGATAGCCAAGGCCGGCCTCAGGCAAGCCGTGCTGGAGGGAGCGGCTGCAGCCTGGCAGCGCAGGAGCGGGCTGACAGCGAGCATGCCCATGCCAAGGCAGCTTGGGGCGCAGCTGCGTGCCCTGGGCACGATGCTGATGTTTAGGGATGCCAGTATTGAGGCACTGCGTTGTAACGCCGCAGACGTCCAGGCTGCAGCGGACAAGCACCTGTAGACGATGTTGTGTTCACTGATGCGGCACGCCGCCCCCCCTGCCACCGCTAACAACCCATCCCAGGGGGCTGCGGCGGCTCTTCAAGAGCTGCGAGCACGAGCGCCCAACCCAGCCATCACTGCAGGCAGCCGGCGGCATGGCCGCTGTCGACAGCGACAGAGGCGGCGAGGGCGGCAGCGGCGGCAGCAGCAGCAGCAGCGGCGGTGGCAGCAGCAAGAGCGGCGGCGGCGGCGGCAGCAGCAGCAGCGGCACAGATAACGAGCACCCTGTCACGCCACCTGCATACACGGGGGCCATGGACACTGAGCCGCCTGCCGGCGCCGCCCCCATTGATCTCAGCCAGCCCGACATACTGGCGGCCATCTTTGAGCGGCTGCCGCCCGGCGAGCAGTGCGCCACGATCGGCGCTCTCGACCACGCCTGGCGACGGTGGGCAGCGCCAAAGCGCGCCGCCCTGCGGTGCGCTATGCCCTCCGGTTACTGCTACTACTTGATTTGCGAGTGGTGGGGGTCGTTCGAGCTGCCGCTGTGGTATGTGAAGGATCAGTGGCCGCTGCTAACAGAGATGCAGCGGTTGGGAGCGGCCAGCCGCGCCGCGGCCCACGACGACATCGAGATGCTGCGCTTCGCGCTCCACGCCGGCTGCCGTGTGGACGAGTCCGTGTGCCACGCGGCTGCGAGCGGCGGCCAGTTGGCCGCACTGCAGTGGGCGCGCGGAGCTGGGTGCCCGTGGAGTTACCGGACATGCGCTTTTGCCGCGGCCGGCGGACACTCCGAGGTGCTGCAGTGGCTGCGCGGCGCCGGCTGTCCTTGGGACAGTGATACATGCGAGGCGGCCGCGCGGGGCGGGCACTTGGAGCTGCTGCGCTGGGCGCGCGGCGCGGGCTGCCCCTGGAGAAAAAGCACGTGCGAGGCGGCCGCGCGGGGTGGGCACTTGGAGGTGCTGCAGTGGCTGCGCAGCAAGGGCTGCCCTTGGGACAGGGATACGTGCGAGGCGGCCGCGCGGGGCGGGCACTTAGAGCTGCTGCGCTGGGCGCGCAACGCTGGCTGTCCCTGCTTTGACGAGCGCATGTGCGCCGCGGCGGCGGGCGCGGGCCAGCTGGAGGTGCTTCAGTGGGCTCATGCAGCCGGCTGCCGGTGGCACGAGGGGACGTGCTCCGCCGCGGCGCGGTGCGGGCACCTGGACTTGCTGAAGTGGCTGCACGGCGCAGGCTGCCCGTGGGACGAGCGTACTTGCCAGGCCGCGGCGCGCGAGGGGCGCCTGGAGGTGCTGCAGTGGCTACGAAGCGCGGGCTGCCCCTGGGGCGCGGGCCTGTGCGTGTCGGCCGCCTACTTCGGTCACCTCCACATTCTGACCTGGGCGCGTGGCGAGGGCTGCCCCTGGGACGAGCGCACCTGCGAGACCGCGGCGGCCCGCGGCCGCCTTGAGCTGCTGCGTTGGGCGCGCGGCGAGGGCTGCCCCTGGGACGAGCGCACGTGCAAGGCCGCGGCACGCTTCGGAAACCTGCACATTCTGACCTGGGCGCGCGGCGAGGGCTGCCCCTGGAAGCGCGAGGGGTGCCGCTACCAGGCGTACGAGGCAATGCATTACGCCGTCGTCGAGTGGATCGACAGCCAGCCAGAGTAGCTGTTGTGCCACCAACGAATGCCTTGTCGCAGGCCGCTGCTGTGTGTCTCGCCTTGCAGGCGTCGGTTTTACTGCACAGCACAAGTGCGTCGTTGCCCTCGGGCACACACCTTGCACCTTTGGCCAAGCTGTGGCGTCACGCGCCGCCGCCATGTCTGCTGGGCAGGCCGCGCTCCACTTCTGATACCTCATGTACCGACCAAGTTGAATCATAAGTCGACTTGTCAGGCTTTTGGGCTGTTGCTGTTCGGGCGACCCACGCACTTATGAGTAACCGTGAATGTGGGTGGTGAAATCGCTTGTGTGTCTGGCCAAGCAAGTGTTGGCAACAAGCAATTTGCAGCTGCAATGTGTGCAGGTCATGTGCTTGAGATAAGGTAAAAAGAGAATCAACAGCCCAAACCGCGGCACTATTACGGTAATGCACCCCCCTGCCTATGTGATGGGCCGCAGCGCAGAGCAGGGGTGGATGGGCGGCACGTGCAATCGATGGAGGGATGGGTGCGCACATGGGCGAATGGGTGCACACAGCGTACGGTATCAGCCAGCCACAAGTGTTCCAAACACACTTCAATAGATCGTGAAAAATTGTGAAATGCGTCTGCACCAGCTATTTTTACATTGAGGCACATAGGAAAATAGGATGCATCGATTGCCTGCTTGGTGGTCGGCATGTCAGGTCCTGGCCCAGCCAGAAGCGGCACCTCGGCCGGGAGCTGCTGGCAGCCCGTGGGGCGCCCGTGCCTTTATTTGAATACCGAGGTATATATAACCCTACTTAATCCTTTCAACACTTTCATGATCGACCATCCCGCGCGCCTCTGTCTCGAACGGATTTAATCCTAATCCTCGAACGGATTTATCGGCACCCACCGGAGCCTCCCGGCGCTGCATCAGACACCCGACTTAGAAACCATCACCTTATCTCGCGATTGTTATCAGACATGTCGCGCTCGAGGTCCACCATCGCAGCCGCGGCGCTGCTGCTGCTCGTCGCAGCCGCCGGCTGCGTCCGGGCAGCGGCAGCGGCCCCCCCTTCTGATGCACCCGCCGGCGGGCGGCAGCTCCAGGCCTGGCGGCTACGCCTGAAGAAAGCCAAGAGCAGCGCCAACACAACAACAGCCGCCAGCACCACGCCAAGCGCGGCCAACACCACCGCGGCCCTCCCTGCGGCAACCACCACCCCTTCCTTGCTGGCCAACAACTCGGCCGCCGTCGACAACGCCACCGCCACTTCCGCCGCCAACAGCACCGCGGGCGCGGCCGCCCTCTCCCCCGGCAAGAAGTTCAGCCGCGACGCCCTCATCGCCTCTGACCTCAACGCCGTCCTCGTCACCGCCTTCAACGTGCTGCGCGCGTCGTTCCTCCTGGCCACCCCCTTTGCGTCGGCGGCGCAGGCGGGGGAGGTGACCCTCGGCGCCTCGTGGGGCCTCAACATGGTGGGCCTGCTCATGCAGATGGGCGCGGCGGGCACAGACCTGGCCACCAAGATTGAGAAGTTTGTGGCCGACGCCGCCGCCCCCGCCGGCTGAACACGCCGCGGCCGGGCCGGTGGCCGGTTTACACAGTTTTGTGCGAGAGATGCAACATGCATGATGCATGAAAGCTCCGCCGGCCCCACCGGCTGAACGGGCATGATCAGAGCAAATTATCGCAAGCACATTGCTTGCCATCGCGCTGACGCACCGCCGGCGGCTTCGCTACGTAGTTATGGCACCTCCATGGTTTGGTTTCTCAGCACCTCGAGCGTGTGACCGTTGACCCATTTTTGCCGACCCGCATCCAGCTGTGTGCACCAGCACCAGATAAGCGCTGGCCCGTCTGCATGCCATTTGCCGGCTGTGGCCCCATGCGCGGGTCACACCAACTTCCCATTGTCCTTTGCAAAGCCAGCTGCTGCCCCCTGCGGCTGCTCCTTCACGACAAGCCGCCCGCCAGAGCGACCCATGCAAGTGCCTAGAGAGTAGTCGACGGGGCTCCTGGAAATATAGCTTGATTGCTTGGGAGGTGCTGCTGGTGGCAGGTTGGTGTAAACGAGAGAATCGGCGCTGGAGCAAGGGGCGGTGCGTCACAGAACGCAGCACAAGCAGCCTCCTTTCCTGAGTCGGCAGGCCGCAGTGATGAACCTTGCAAAGAGTCGGTTCAGATGCCCCACATTTACAGTTTGTATTGCACAGATGGAAACCGACTTGTTGGAAGCTGACCCTGAGTCGTGGCTTGGTGGACCTGAAGGGCTGGGCGCCACTCCATGGCAGGACGAGCGCGCCCGCCCGCACAATCGTGACATCAGTTTTGAGTTTAGGCCGTGATTGGGGGCGCCGCTGGGCGCACTTGGGTGGAGGGGTCATGCCACCTCGCGGAATTCAAACAAAGCGCGCCCAGGCAGTATTTAAAGGCCCTGCGACGACAGCCAACACAGCCGGCCATGCGTTTGCACAACCAACCAATACGTGGGACCCACGACTCACGGGCCAAAAGCGGCTGTGAGAGTCTGAAAGAAGCTTGCGTACGCGTCTGCTTGGGAGGCAGTACACTGCGCTGCGGCCTCTGTGGTGAGTGCCCCGCTCTTGAAGCGGCTGCAGCCTCTTACGGCATGCCGGGCGGGCTGTCACAAGTCGGCCGCAGACAGCCGGGATGCCGCTCCAGAGACCGCGGGAGAGAACGGCCCCCGCCGCCCGGGCGCCCGCCCGACGCGGCTGGCCCATCCGCGACGCGCGGCAGCGCGGGGCGCGCGCCGCTCAGCCGGCAAAGGCTTTGGGGACGTTGTCTTCGAGGTACTTGCGGGTCACCTTGGGGTCGAACGCGACGGTCCCCGCCTTGCCGCACGCCTCCCGGGTGTAAAACTTCCCGCAGTAGTTCTCGGCGGAGATCGAACCGGTGTCTCCGCCGGTGACGTACGCGGCCTCGGCGGCCTCGGTCGAGGTGCACGCGGCCTCGTTGGGCCAATACTTGCAGATCTTGCTCGACTGGCAGGCGTCCTTGCTCTTGCCCCAGCACTTGGACAAAAAGTTGCGGTACGTCTTAGACTCGTCACAGGTGCCGTAAGCTGTGGACAGGAGCAGGGAGAACAACACATATGGCGCAAGAGACGAAAAAATCCGGCGGTCTGAGATGTGTGCGGCCGAATACGAGGAGGGCACGCCGCGCCCTCCCTGTCGGCCCGGCCAGGCGGATGCGTAGCTGCCCTGTCAGGCAGGCGGGGCGGCTGCTGCTGCGGCTGCCCGTTGCACTCACTTGCGGGGTTGTAGTAATAGTTGATGTAGTATGCGGGGATGGTCTTGATGCCCAGCTGGTCCACCAGCCGCGGGTAGCAGATCTCATTGTTGTTGATCTGAGAGGCGTGCGACCGAGGTTTGACCAGTGCTTGAGCATCATTTGGGCAAAAGGGTCTTTGAAGGGAAGTTGCCGATGCGGTGTGTGTGTGAGCCAGATCAACCAAAACGCCGTGTTGAAAGCGGCATGCGGCTGTCCAAGTTGATTGACTTGCGGCAGTCTTGTGGCCCTGAATACATCCAAAGTGACATCACATCAATCCATCATGGCAGCGCGGGTGCCCCACCTTTCCCCATTTGCAGAGCGAGTTGGTGACGCAGGACGCCTGCTTGTCGAAAGCAGAGCACTTGTCGGTCAGCTGCGCCAGATCACCTGTTGTGGTTTGCGGCGCGGGGTCAATTCTGTATACTGAAGGGAGCGACACGGCGCCTCGCGTCCCAACTGGGGTGGCATGCTTTACTTGCCAGCCGGCAAGGCGCAGGCAGCAAGGGCTGGGGGCTGCAAAACGGCAGGGGCAAAGCAGGGGCAGCGTTGAGTGCTTGGCGACGAGACCGCCCTGACGCACCCACCTTCGCAGGCGATATCGACGATGGTGTTAACGTGGGTACGGCAGAACTTCTGCAATGGTGATGTTTGTGCGTGTGTGTGTGTGTGTGTGTGTGTGTGTGTGTGTGTGCACGCGCATGTGTGTATGGTGATGGTGATATAGAGTATAGGCCGAGATTGCACCCGCGAGCCTGGCACCAAAGCCTCCATCCGTGTCCGGCAAGACATGCCGTCGGTCCATGCGCAGGCAATCAATGACGCTCAAACTCGTGCCTATTTTGGTGGCGCTGCTGAGCAGAAACCCTCCCGAGCTTGCGCGAGCATGCTGTAGCGTGCGTGAAGGCGCAGACAACCCCAATTCATGCGCCGCGCGCCGCCCCCACCTGCTCTGCGTCCCAGAAGCAGGGGTCGGTCGTACCCGACGTCCCCACGTTCTTGCCCGGCACGGCGGCCTTGTCGCAGAGCGCCTTCGTGTTCTGGGCCGCGCACAGGGACTCGCGCGCCCACGTCTGCAGGTCCTTGGTTGCCAGGCGGTTGGGGGGCGCCGGCTTCCTCGGCCATGCGGCAGCTGGACATGGAAGGTGTGGGGTGTGGGGGGGCCAGGAGTGTGGGGTTGGTCGAGGCGGCACGAGGGTGGAGCGGGGGGCAGCCGGTTCGGGTAAGGCCAGGTTGCAGAGGCGTCGCTCGAGAGGCGGCTGTGATGGCGGCTTCGGTGCAAGCAGCACAGCCTGCGGAGTGATAACACAAAACGCTGTTACAGGCGCGGGACATGAGCGCGGTCCGGGCGGGCGCCGCCGCATGGGTGACGCCCGAGGCTCACCCCTGGTGGCTACACACAGCCAGTACTCTGAAGCCCACTCGCACTTTGGGACCTGCACCGGCGCTGCGGCGGTGCACGCCGCCCAGGCAGCCAGCAGCAGCACGGCGGCAGCCGCGGCGGCGACGAGGCGGGCCATATCTGTTCCGCCTGCGCATGCGGCGAACGGTGGCGGTTCTCGGGTGGGGATGCGCCCTGGGGGTTGCGGCTGAATCTGATTGGGGCGTGGCGGCCGCAAGCCGCAAGTGGTCGGGGCGGCACTGCGCGCACTGTCGGCGGCAAGGGCATGGCCGACGGAAGCTGATTGTAAAGAGCGATCGCTGTTGTCGTCACCTGTGGAGCGGATGCAACGCTTGTAGCGGGGGCCACGTACGGCAGGGATGAAATAAGGTATAGATCAAGGATCGTCCGTTGACGCGGTGATAGCCGGGTGACAGCGCTCAAGATACTCTGATATGTGAAGTCTGACCTGAAAGCATCTCAAGTTCTCGCGCAAGCCAGGGAAGTTGTTGAGAGTGCGCCGCTAGTGGCCTGGCTGCACCATCTCGCAGCAAGGCCGCAACCTGAAAACTTTGGTAAAACCGTGTGTCCCGTCCGTGCGAGCAGTGCTTGCGACGCCCGCTGTCAATGGCGAGGGGCGCGTGACATGGCGCGGTCAAGCACTTGTGGAGCGGCCGACAGCTTTCGAGACACTGTGACACGCAGGCGTGCTTTGCCTGACCTGTATGCAAGTTTGAAGCTCTTCAAATTGATTGCACTGCCTCTGTGACTCATCCGGCGGCCATTGCCGGCCTGACGGGGCCTGCGCAGGCCCAGGGCGCACCCCGCCAGGGGCTGGGCCTTGCAATCTCACGCTCGACCCCGAGCTCGAAGCGCTGTGTGCCAGGGGCTGGCGCTGTGCGCGCCATGAGCACTGGCTGGTCTCGCACGCGTCCATCTGCGCGCGTGCTGCGTTTGCCGAGAGTGTGGCGACTGCATGTTCCCTGGTGACTGCGCGCGTGCACCAACGCCATTCCTCACACCCGCCTGCACTTGACTCTTGCTGCCAGCCGTGCCAGGCCGCTTTCGGCTGTTTTTCTGACAGAACTTCAGCCCAGCATATCACAACACAGGCCCATCTGGTCATCAGTGCGGCGCCGAGGGATGCAGCAAATGCAGGCTCACACTGTGGCACAGCTGACGGAGTTCTACACCTTGTGCGCATGTGCGTTGGAATCCTCTGTGGCCCGCAGACTCGGCAGGCCGCGACCAGGCAGGCAGGCAAGGAACCATGGTCTTGGCCTATGCAACCAACTCCCACACTAAAACTCGATATCCAAACTTCCACAAGGGCATCTGATGGTAGCAACCCACACAACAAATCGCGGGGGCCGGCGGCGTCTCCTGAAACAGTGCCCCAGCCCCGACCATCCCGCGGCCTTGAGCTTGGACCATGCGTGGCCCAGAGGGTTGAATTGCACGGCATCCCACCAATCACGGTTGTGTCCGCGGCCGTGGCAGCAGCTGCAGGGGGCGTCCGCCTCCCCGCTGCCCTGCCCATGTCGCCTCACAAGCTGTTGCTCCGCCACAAACGCCGACAGCTGAGCCAAGCCCGCCGTTGACGCGCGCCGCAGGTCCTTGCAAGCCTGGGCGGTTCGGGGTTTAGCCGCATGGTGCCATGGGGTTGAGGATGCCCATGGGATTGTTCAGGTCTATGAGCGATCTGCAAGAAATGATTTTGCATGTACAGGCCCGAGCCTGCATGGCACCAGCCACGTGAACGGGCGCAGGTGTGCTGGAACTTTCTGTGGCGCAAAACGATAACAGCGCAGCTCACTCCTGCCCCGTCGCGCAGGGGTGCGACGATAAGCAACGGTCTTGGCGCAGGAGGCGAGTCCTATGAATGCAGCGACCCTTGCCCCACCCTCGCACCCACCAGGGCAGCACGGGCGATGTCTCGTGCGACAAAATAATCGTCCCGACACACCCCTGTCCGCCCCAGCGAGGCAGCCACGCGGGCCATGATCATTTCAAGGACTGGGCCAGGCAGCGCCAGCAGGCTGCCTCCCTCCGGATGCCCCGGCGCCACCGCCACCGCCGCCGCCACGGCCGGTCCGCCGGGGGCCTGCCGCTCCGCCCGGCCCTCGTCGTCCTTCGCGCTCTCGCGGCGGGCGCGCTTGCGGGCTGGGGTGTCGCGCAAGCATCTGTCGCCTGGCGTGGAGGGGGTGACACGGGCGACCCGCCAAGAGCAGCCGCGGCAGGCGGCGCCAGGTTGGTTCAAAGTTAGAGGTGAGCAGTCCGGCTCGCGCTCAGGCTGTGGGCGTTGTGCTGATCTGTCACAAATTGCGGGGTCGCCCCACGGTCAAACGAACGCCCGTCAACCCGGGGAGGCGGGGGCCCACTGGCCTGCTTTTTGCCCTTGACTGGTGCGCCATCACCCCAACCCCCAAACAGGTCGCCGCAGTGCTGCGCTGCCAGCCATGCTTTTGTCCCCGGACAGCAGCGCCTGCCTACGCGCCTCTGCGAGGGCCAGGCTTTGCCTGTGCCCTCAGCTTAGCCGCCGTCATGCGGTGAACACGTCTTTGTCTGTGCTTGCATGAGGTGTTTGACTGAGATGGATGCAGAGCATGCTTTTTCTCACCAATGAGTCATCTCACTGCCAGCAGCGTCGCGACAAAGCCGACATGCCTCCCGCCCAACGGGGCCACGCACCTGTGCGACTTGGGAAGTTGATTCTGCTGTGTGGTGCGCCACGAATAGGCATGCTGCCCAACACGCTCAGTGCACCGGCGATGCAGGCCGGCGTCTCGTATGGAGAGTGCTTGCGTCAACCCTGTCGCGGGCAGCGTGGGTGGTTGGGCAGACAATTCGGGGTGGGCGCTGTGGCTGATGTGCGCGTCACGCCCTGTCGCTGTCCATAGAAACCCCAGACTGACATCTGTGAGTCGCGTTGTGTTATTCAAATCAATTGTACGCATGTATTTTGGGCTAGGCATGCTTGTTGCAGGCGCTTGGGATGGAGGAGCAGGATGGCCTGGACGCTTACGCAGCACCCTGCCTCCTCTACAGCGAGCTGGCAGCCAGAGCGGGGAGGAGGGTGGGTGCTTGATTGCGAGGTCGTTGGCGAGTGGGAGTCGGTTGGTTATCGAAGCTCTTGAGCAAGTGATCTGGCCTTTTCGTCGTCTGCTCGCAGCCGTATTTTCTCAAAAGGAGTCTCGCTTATGTGTGGAGACCACCTAGGACCGATCCCGACAGGTATGCAGCGGCACGCTTCAAATGCGTTTTGGCGCCATCAGCATTGTGCGCAGCCAGAGCCTGAGCCAGGGCGCCTGCTATTTCATATTGCCGCGCAGCCGCTGCGCTGGGCTCAACCCCATGTCACATTGCATTAGCCTTGTACCAGCAAGTTCCGGGCACCCAGGGCTAATAAACCCCACGGTTCGCCAACCGATCGCCCTGCGCTTCCACCACAGCGCCGCCGCTGCCGCCGGCACGCTCAGTGTCTCCCTCCTCTCCTGCGCCGCCGCCCCCGACGGCGCCGGCGGCCGCCCTTGGTTTGCGTCCATCTCCGGCCGCGTGTCCGTTGTGGCGGCGCTGTGCGAGGATCTGTCCCCAGCCGGCGGCGGCAACGGCGGCAGCGATTCCACAGCTGGGGGCACATTAAACGGCGGTGCGCCCGATGCGGCAGAGCGGCGGCGCCCGTCGACGGTGGGCCCTTGACTTGGTTGATCCCAGGGCTTTACACGTTGCCGTGGGGAGGCTGGGGATGCACGTAATTGTGGGCAGCACCTTCGGCCCTGCCTCGGCACCCTAAACGAATTATTGGCTGCTTTTGGCTGGCGGCTCTCGGCACCTCGCGCGCCGCCGCGCCGCGCCTCGTCGCGGCCCATCCTTCCCCAGGTGCTGCTGCCGCGCGCCGCGACGCTGCTGCACGCGCGGCTGGGCGGCGGCGAGAGGCCGCAGGAACCTGTCGGTGGCAGCAGCGGCGGCGGCGGCGGCAGCGGTGGCGCGGCGCGGGCGGCGGCGCTGGCGCTGCCGGAGGGCGGGCTCAATCGGATGACCTGCCCGTGCCTGCTGCTTTTAGTTTGTCAGTCGCACCCCGACATCGATGTCTTCAGCCCCAGCAGCGCCGCACGCGAGGCAGAGGGCGTCACCGCCCCCGGCGGCAAAGGCGGCAGCGGAGCGCGGGGGCGCGAGAAGCGGCTGCGGCGCTTCCACGCGCGGCTGCTGCCGCCCAAGGCGCTAACCGGGGACCCGACGGCCAGGGGCGGCCTGTTCGGCCTGCTGGCAAGCGGCGGCGGCGACGGCGGCGGCGGCAGCGACGGCCGTGAGCGGCGGGAGGTCTGGTGGGCGTGCGTGCCGCTGCAGGCGGCTGCCGAAGGACCCGCAGCCGGTGGCGGCGTCAAGGGCGCCGCGGCCGCCGCGGCACGGGAGGCGGCCGGGCGGCTCGTGCCCGGTGCGCTGGGGTTTGAGCCCGCGCCCACGCCCGCCGCGCCAGCCGCGGCCGCTGGGCCCACGCCCGGCGCCAAGCGGCCGCGAGGGCCGGTCACACCGGGCGGCGGCGGCGGGGGCGGCGGCGGCGGCACTCTGAGGGCAGTTAAGAAGCCGCGAATGGAGGCGGCGGATGTGATTGTCCTGGACTGCACCTCGAGCGATGAAGATTCGGAGGTTGACGATCACCTTGACGCTTGCAGTGAAGGGGAGCAGGAAGGCGGCCCCGCGCCCGGCCCGGGCGCGCCGGCGGCGGCGGCGGCGGCGCTGGTGTTGTCGCCGCTCGTCCCGGCGGCGGGCGAGGCAGCGGGGCCGGCGGCCGCGTACACGACGGCATGTCGCGGCGCGCTCGAGGTGCGGCTGCGCTTGAATGTCGAGCGGGCGGCCGCGCCGGCTCCGCCGGCGCGAGGCGCGGCAGCTGCCGTGCAGCTGCCGCCGGGGCCCATCGAGTTCAGCTTCCTGCGGAACGGCGGGCTGGCCAAGCCGATTTTCGGGGCCGCGCCTGGCGGCTGCGGCGGCGGGGCGGACGTGCGGGCCATGCTGCTGGGCCGAGCGCGGGCAGCCGCGAGCGTCGCAGCTGCCGCGGACAACGCGCGGGACGCGGCGCCGCGGCGGCACCGCGCGCGGCGCGAGGCGCTGCGCCTGGCCGCGCCGGGCGCCGCCTGCCCGGTCTGCGGCGTCGCGACACGCGGCGCCGCGGCGATGGCGGCGCACTTTGCGGCCAGCCACGACCGGCTAGTCATCCTCCCTCACGGCGGCGGCGGTGGCAGCAGCGGCAGCAGCAGCAGTGGGGGCGCAAGGCGAGGAGGCGATGGCGGAGGCCGAGGCGCGGGCGATGGAAGCCAGGGGGGCATGTTGGTGGTGGGAGTGGCGGCGGACGCATATGATGAGTCGGGCGTGTTTGTGCTGCCGAGCGCGGAGGCGGCGGAGCTGGCTGACGCGGCGAATAAGGTAGGGCGGGGGGTGGTGCAGGGTGGGCACGGGATTTGGGCGGGAGCGGAGGCACAGTGCTTGCCATTGACGCTTGAACTTGCTGCACCGTTGTTGTGTCCTGTTGTCTGTGTTGAGTGACGCCATGTTGATTGACGCCGTTTTAAGGGCAGAGTGTTTGGGGTGGGGTGTAGATTTGAGGTCCTGAGGCACCCCTCCTCGATCCCCCCCGGTTCCGCAGCCCTTCTTCTGGCACCGCCGCCGGCCGCCTGGCGCCCGCCGCGCAGCGGCGGCGGCGAATACGGGCGGCTCGAGCTCCTCCTCTGACCTTGAGGCCAGCCCTGGGCCTCTGCAGAGCGACGGCGGCGGTTGCGCGCCCGCGCTCGCGCCAGCCGCTGCCGCGCGCGCCGGCGGCCGGCCCCCCCAGCAGCCCAAGCAGCAGCACGCGCCGGCGCCGCCCGCGCAGGCGCGCCCGCCGAGCCGCCAAGGGGGGCGGCCGCCGAGGGGCGATGCCCCGCCCGTCGGCGGCGGCGGGAGGGCCGCTGGCGGCGCATCCGGAGCGGCGGCAGCG